CCGACGTCGAGGAGCACGGGCCGCGGCGCCGCGGAGGCGTTCAGCGCGCCAGACCGCAGCAGCCGGGAGACGAACGCGCAGAGGTGGATCGCGTCCTTGGGCAGCCCCCAGCCCCGCGGCGGCGCGAACTCGCGTTTCCCGAATCTGACCTTGGCGACGCGCCCGTCCCGGTTGTCCACGGCGCGCGACGCGTGGAAGGCGTCTATCGGGCACTCGCGCTGCGCCGCGCCGGCGCCCAAGACATGCCTCGGCAGCGTCGCCCACGCGCCGCATGCCGCGAGCTCCTCCCGCGTCGCCGCGTCGACGCGCGCCACGGCTGGGTCCTCGGCGCCCGCGACGACGACGGCGGCGAGCGCCCAGGGCGCGGCGACGAGCCAAAGCACCATCATGTCCGCCGGATTTCGGCCGTTGGGGATTCAAAGAAAGCACCATGCCTGAAAGCACCATGCCATAATTTAAGTATATTTCAAAAATTATGGGGCAGCCCATTGTGATACTTCTTGGGCTTGTCGCAGCGTCGGCGTCGGCGCCGTACCGGAATCTGGGCCGGTGCGGAGCGCGGGGGCGCTGGGGCGAGGCGCTGGACGAGAAGCTGTCCATGGGGCCGTTGGGCCCGAGGAAGGTCCGCTGGAACATCTTCCGGCCCATGCTCCACGTCCGCACCATGCCGAAGAGCACCGCGGCGTACTTGGCGCCGGCGTCGGCGATCGTCGCGTGCTCGAAGGCGTCCGCCGACGACCGGTGGCGGCCGTCGGCCCACCACCGCCGGAACGCCGCCTCGCCGCTGCTCTTGGAGACGTTGATCGCGCGCGCCGTCGGCGTGGCGTCGATCGCGGCCGTCGCGTCGCCGGGTCCGAGGAACGCGGGAGCGGCGGACGACTCGGCCGCGCCGCCGTCGGACGCCGCCGGCCTCGGCGACGGCGCGGGCGTGGCGAACGCGTCGGCGCCGGTCCCCCCGTCGGCACCGTTCGAATCGTCGGACGACGGCGGCGTCGGCGCCGGCGCCGGCGCGCCGACGACGTCGGCGGCGGCGGCGGTGCGGTTCGAGCCGCCGTCGTCGGACGACGGCGGCTTCGGCTTCGGCGCCGGACTCGCGCGGGGCTTCGGCGCCGGCCGCGGCGCCGGGCGCGGCCGCTTCCCCAGGATCCCCCCAGGTGCTCCATCTCGTGCTGGTGCTGCATCGCCTTTTTCCGCGACACCGGAATCGGGCGCCCCGCATTGGCCGCGCGGCGCGGACGA